GCCCTCTAAGCTTTAGTCTCATTTCCAAACAAGTGATGGCATGGTAGTATTTTCATATGCACACTGTCCATTCTCGCTTGCAGAAATCTGCCATGAGTGATCGCTCATTGAATGATGACTTGCCATGTGTACTTCTAGGAACTAAGTTACTAGCTTCACATTCCGATATGCTATACTATCCAGATGTACCATCTACAGCATCCGGCTGTGTTACGGATGCTGGAAGCAGGTCTGCTGGGCACTGGAGACGTGGGCAACAGGATGTGGACGATCTTTGAGAGATGCACCCATGGCAATCTTCGCGATCTCCTTCTGGTAAGCATACCCTTGAAGGGTTCTAGCAAGAGTAGATAAACAAGAGTGTGCAACTCGCGGATGGGTTGGCCCACGGCGGAATTTTTTGTTGACGTAATCTTTTCGACGACGCACGCACTGCGAGCCTTTTGGAGAGGTTTCCCTCGTGCATCTGGCCGGGCTTTACACTACAAGCTCGGTGCCCAGCACGTGCTCTCACACTGCTCTGCGGCAAAGTCCGCGTTTCTGAAAAAAAGGTGACGTCAACAAAAAATTCCGCCGTGGGCGGGGGTATCTGCAGATTGTGCAGGAGAGATCCGGAGTTGCACACTCTTGTTTATCTACTCTTGGTTCTAGCCAAAGGGGGGGGGGGGAGGGGCGAAGCGCCCCCTTGTGAAAAGTGCCCCCCTACACAAAATCGGGAAATGAGTAGCCTACTCATTTTCCGATTTTTGTGTTCTGTCATGCCAATCAATGAAAATGCAGTCGATAGTCAGTACCAGAGGATTCATAAAGGCACATCTGCCTGGGGTGAAGTCTGGTTCACCCTTACAGTGCATTTCGCATTGCAAGACAGTTATTTTCAAAATGGAAAAATGGGTCACCGGGTAACTGTTTTCCCTGCCCCCCCCCCCCCCCCCCCCGCTCTACAATTTTGACCTGGCTAGAACCCTGCCCTGTTTTTTCTGCTCTCTTCTCTCTTCTTCTGGCTGACAATCTCAAATCTCCACTGAGACCAACTTACAACAAATATTTCACCAGAATTCGGTCCTGGCCAATCATGCGAAAGATCCACTGATGGAATGGCTTGCAGAGCCTGGGTGCCATGACCTGTAGCCTCAAATGGATTAATCCAATGCTGGACAGTCAAAATTGTCCACATTTGGAACTATTCAGGAGCCTATAATATAAATCCAAACTCTCTCTCTATCTCTCTCTCTCTCTCTCTCTCTCTCTCTCTCTTTCTTCATCAACCACTATGCTAGATTTGGGGCATGTCAATGTGTTTGAGAGTGTGTATGGTGTAGTCCCAGCACAAGTCGCTATGTCTAACATAGCTGTCGAGTATCATCGATTCCTCGATGGGCATGTCTGAGTCTGAGTCTGAGTATGGACGTGTGAATGTCTGTGTGTGCGTGTGTGTGTGTGTGTGTGTGTGTGTGTGTGTGTGTGTGTGTGTGTGTGTGTGTGTGTGTGCGCGCGCATGTATGTATGTGTATGTATGTGTATGTGTGTTTTTGTGTTCAGCGTAGTGGCTGTGTACAGACGCAGGAGATGCTACGCATACTGCACAGCATCGCCTCAGGTCTTCATTATCTACACAGCAGCTCTCCGCCAGGCACCAACAGCACAGGAGAGTTCAAGCCGTCAATAGCTCACTGCCACCTGGCCACGTACAATGTGTTTGTTCGCCGTGATGGTAGCGCATGCATCGGAAACCTGTGTAGCTCTGTTCCAAAGTCCGCCCATGGGACAGAATCTCAGGTGAGTGGTACTGAGCAAAGGAACCAGGGGCCGGCTGCACAGGAGAAATCAGATGGGCCATAACCCCCCCCCCCCCCCAGTTCTCTACAAAGGGGTTTTATCTCTGTGTGGCTCTGACTCTTTTAATCCTTTACCGATGGAACCCTGGTATACAGATAAATGTACCCTCATATTCCCAAAGCTAGGAATGGCCCGCTACTCTAAGCATACATACCTACTGCATGCAAGAAAACATTTGTTATTCTAAACAATAGTTGTTTCTCTGAAAAGCCGATTTCCGTGACTCTAGAAGGGTCAGAAAGGTGCCTGGTGGACAGGTGTGGCCAGATTAGGGACATCCGGATTTTGGAAGTTTTGCTGTATTCCCCTCTTTTTCTTTTCTTCCTTATCTCTCTCTCTCTGGTAATCGCATTCCTGTTATTGGGCATACTTGCCCTTTTGCATCGCGAATTAAAATAAAGCCAACAACAACATTCCAATCAAGTCACTGCTATACACAGCGTTATGACTTCCTGTATTTTCTGTTTTCTCTAAAGGTGGGCGGTGTAGCAAAGACAACGGCTAACTACTTTATTCCGGTGGTGGGTAGTCCACGCTACGCGTCACCGGAGATGCTGTCCATGTGGGTGGACGCGTATGAAGATTTTGATATCCTGCTGGCGTCCGATATCTACAGCTTCTCACTGATCATGTGGGAGATTCTTGTCATGTGCCCTGTGGG